TAACTTGCATTTTAATGGTCTACATGTGAGTTAAAGAAGAATACTATAAGCTTAGTCAATTAGGTCATTTAAGTAAGTTTCATAGGAAAAGTCCTCAATGTCTAGGTGAAAAACATGATTAACACTTTAAATAATTAACACTATCTATAGTCTGCCACCTAGAAGAGTTTAAAGCTGCATACTGAGATGACTGTTAGGCAATTAACATGAACTCATGTGGAGAATTATCTTTTATGACAGTCATCATATAGAAAATAATCCTTACCTGATTCTCAACCTCTCAAACTATTCAGTACAGAAATTCACTGCCCCACATCGAATTACTGACATGTGCCAAAATTCATGATCACAAGTATTAGTACATTTGATGTATACTTGTTCAGCTATACTTACCATCACTCTCTGCCCTGACAAGCAGGGACATGCCCTTCAGCCTTTCCACATAGCCAGAGGACACATGTCCAGTGCCACGATCATCCCATTGTCTGTCTTCATTTAATGTATAAACCTTCACCCTCCTCCGGGTATCGGTCATTCTGCCTTTTTCCAAACCACAAGGGTCTATGACAGTCTATCAAGCTGAGCTGTGATGGGGGGCTTTGCCCCCCTCAATGAAGGGGAGCAGAAAAGGGAGCAAGAGTCCCACACAATACCCCAAACAGGTCTTTTTATTGGTGCTGTTAAAGTAACTGCCTCATCACCCCAAAAGGGGGACAGCTTAAAACAGCAGTTAACACTACTGTGAGAGCACAGAACTTTTTCAGTGAAACGACAGCTTTGCAGAATAGGAGAAAACAGGAAATAACAGTGCTAAGACTTCAAGGGAAGAAACAGAAGAACACCAGAAAAGAATAAAAAGACGACGATGAAAATGGAAAGTCAGTTGAAGAGGAATCTACATTACATAGGTGATTCAAAGCAAAAACAAATAAGAGAATTCACCACTGCAGACGACTAACGCTAGTTAGGGGGCAGATGAGGTGAACCGAAAAGCAGCAAGTGGAAAACAAACCAGTGACAGGAAAAGTAGGAAGGATTAGCCGGTCATACTAAAAGCCCTCAAAAGGAGAGGTAAAAACGCCAAGGGAACGGGAAGGAAAATCCGTGGACACTGCTGGAGCATCATTAGGAGAAGGGGTGAAGAGGCCAGCGGAAGGGAAAGCGGGAAGCACGGGAAGAGGGGATCGGTTCACCCTCGGCCAGGCCCTATTGTGCAAGGCGCTGCTAGGCCCGAAGCCCCTTTCCTCGCACTCCGTTAGCCAGGCTAAGGGACCGAGACGGAACCGCCCCTTCTTCCCAGGGAAGGCCGCGACCTAAGCTGGGGGCGGGGGACGCCGCGCCTTGCTGGGATGGGGGCGGGGAGAGGAAGCTGGCCGTGTGGGCCGGGCTCGCAGGCGGTGTCGGTGCCCTGTCTCCTCCGGCAGGATCTCCCCTCACGAGCAGCGACGACTGCACTCTCAACGCGATGCCGCCGTCGCCGCCATGTTCTTCCTGCGCCCGCTCCTCCGGATGCTGCTGGCAGTCCCACCAAGCTCCCTCGTCCCTTCTACGCTGCCTGGGCCTTTCCGTGCACCCGGCAAAGAAGCGAATCCCCTCCGCGGGTGGGTAGGATGACTGAAGCGGTGGCCGTTCGTGTCTTTCTGTCTCAGCCTCAGTCACTGTGCAGCCGCCATCTTGGTTTCACCTCTCACTGGAGACACGGGGTCTCCCAGCCAAAGGCGGCACGGGCCGGCCGCGAACATTTAAAGGGCCCGCAGCCTTCTGGAAGCTTGGGACTGTGGCTCTTTTGAAAGGCGCGCTTCGCACCTGACTCCTCGGCCAAGTGGAAAGCATTGAACACTTTCCTGTGAAAAACTGCCACCCCGTGTCTGCAGCAACCTTTGAAGAATTTATGATGTTCGCTCCGATTTTGTTTTGGTTTGGTTTGGTTTTTTTGCTGCAACCAAGACCATTTTCTAAAAGACATTTGTCGCACGGCGGAGTAGCGAAAAAATGCAAACGTGTCTACCTTATTCGCCCAAACGCTGGGGACGGTTCCTCATACGTCCCTAAAACTTATTCCCGGAAAACCCTCCTTCGGGTGGACTATCCAAGCAGGCTGAAGTATGAACAAACCACGTGCTCCTTCAGTAAAGATGACCCTCGCAGGCAGGACTTAGTCACAACAAATAAAAGCGGCAGCAGCTTTGTAGCTTAGAGTGCTTACAACCAGCAACTAACTAACTAACCAACCAACCAACTTCTTCCTTCCTTCCTTCCTTCCTTCCTTCCTTCCTCATGGCCACCCATCTTATGAGCCATAATTGGTCCACTCACTGCATCAGAGATAAAAATATGTTTAAAAAAACAATAAAAACCAACATCCAACCTTGCAACTCCCAGCACCCTAAACCAACATTCCCCAATACATTAAAAAAAACAACCCCACAATCAGTGGGCTCCAATCACCCTATCCCAATGCCTGGGGGGAAAGCCAGCTTTTTATTCATCTCATTTCATTACTTTTGTTTTCTCCCTTTTTTTTTTAATTCTTCAGAGGTGATATCAATTAAGATGCTTAAAAAGTTCTTCAAGTTTTGCTGTGATGGAATATTGCAGAAAATATGTTGATGCAATCATAGATAGTTGGACTGGTACCTCTTGGCTAAGTTAAAGATGTGTGCAGTGCCTGTGGAAAGAGATCAAAACAGATGGCCTTGTGTTTTCTGTGCCCATTGCATGACCCAATCTCTTCTGCAGGGCCCTTGTGAAGATCATGCTAGGCATCTGTTAGATAAAATTGCTAGGATTTGCTCAGTTAGACTTTAGCTGTACTGGAGGTACCTATGGAGGTACCTGAGGTGTCTTTCTTGTTTATATGAGAAGAGTTTGAACCTGTTACTCAGGATGAAGTGGACAGACTCCTTGAAGCGGTGAGTCTGTCAATCTGTGCTTTAGATTGATGCCCTCATGGTTGGTTAAGGCCTCCTGGGAAGTGTCATATGGCTGAGTCAGCAGTTAATGCTTCTCTGCAGGGTGCTGCCACCTGTTTTGAAAGACAGTTATATGCTCACACCTCAAGAAACCATCACTGGACCCAGCAGAACAGGACAATTTTCATCCAGGTTTCAACCTACCTTTTTGAAGATAATCAGCTTGAACTTCTAGAGCATCCTGGAGGAAGTGGATTATCTGGAACCTTTTCAATCAGATTTCAGACCTGGTTACAGTACTGAGACAGCACTGATCACACTTGTACATGACTTTGGCAGGAACGAGATAAGGGATAGTGCATCCATCTTGACCTCTCAGTGGCTTTGATACCATCGATTATGGAATCTTTCTGGACCAGCTCTAGTTGGTATTGGTTGGTGAGGAGACATAGAAGCTGAGGACCCTGCTTTGCAGGGTTCCTCAGGACTCTACTTTCTCCCCACTTTTCTTTAACATATATATGAAGCTGCTTGGGGAGGTCATCCATCAACATGAGCCTATGGGGGTCTGGACAGGGAAGAAACTCAACCCTGGTAGGATTGAGCAACTGTAGGTTTTGAGGCCGTCCAGGTCCAGTGACTTTCCATCTTTATCTCTGAATGAGGGAGCACTACTCATAGAACTGGCGGCAGCTGTGTTTAGAAGGGCCTTTGCATAGGTTCCTGTTGTATGTATGTATGTATGTATGTATGCATGCATGCATGTATGTATGTATATTTAAACATTTAAACCTGACCAGTAAAGTCAATTGGATTCTCACTATGTTGGCCTTGAAGCAGGTCCTTGGAGGTGACTGGGGCAAGGTCTGGCTTGGTTATCTGGGAAGATGATCCTTTTGGGACTGAGGAAATGGACAGGGTTCCGATGGTTGTTAGCTCAGCCAGTATTAGTTCCATGTCCCTCCTGATTGGCTAAGGCCTCCCAGGAGGTGATGTGCAGTTGGATCTTGGCAGTGGTTAATTCCTCTTTGAGACAGGGGATAGTTCCGCTGTGTCTTAAGGAAGCAGTGGTACACTTCCTCCACAAGAGGCCATTGCTGGACCCAAAGGTACTGGGCAATTTTCATCCAGTTTCCAACCTTCCCTTTTTGGGGAAGGTTGTGGAGAAGATAATTGTGCAGCGGCTTCAAAGAACTTTGGAAGAAGCAGATTATCTGGACCCCATTCAGTCAGGATTCAGGCCTGGGTATGGGACCAAGATGGCATTGATTGCACTCTTAGGTGATCCCTGGCGAGAGTGAAATGGGATAGTGCATCCATCTTTACTCTTCTTGATCTCTTGGTGGTTTTTGATACCATCAATCATGGTATCCTTTTGGATTGGCTTCAGGGGTTGGGGGTGAGTGGCATGGTATTGTGCTGCTTCTCCTCCTTCCTGCAGGGCTGGTTCCAATCAGTGTTGAAAGGGGAAGAGGGGTTCAACCTGTGGCCCCTGTTATGTGGGTTATGGTAGGGCTTGGTGCTCTCCCCTCTCCTGTTTAACATCTACATGAAGCCGCTGGGTGAGGCTATCTGTTGGTTTGGGGTGAGGTATCATCAGTATGCTGATGATACCCAGCTATATATCTCCACCCCAGGCTGTCCTTATGATGTCATGGAGGTCCTATTCAGTGTCTGGAGGCAGTGAGGGTCTGGATGGGGAACAACAGGCTTTGACTGCACTATAGTAAGACCAAGTGGATTTGGGTTTTAGGACCATCTGGTTCTATGCTATGGATTTTCCACTTCTTGTTCAGGATGGGGTTGCACTACCCCGGACAGAACTTATGTGCAATTTGGAGGTCCTACTGGACTTGCAGCTCTTGCTCAAAGAGCAAGTGGCAGCTGTGACCAGGAGGGCCTTTGCACAGCTTCATGTTGTGCACCAGTTGCACCCATTCCTAGACTGGGAAGCCCTGCCCATAGTCATGCATGCTTTGGTCACCTCCTATTTGGATTACTGCAATGCTCTGCACATGGGGTTGCCTGTGAAGGAATGGTTGAATGAAGGTTGCACTCGAGGAGATAAGCATTCCTTTAGCCCTCAACAGGAGCGTGGGAAGTTTAAGAAGATG